CCCCCGCGCCTGCCCAGGCCACAGAGCTGTGGCCCAGAGCCCGCTGACCCAGAGCTCTGGGCCCGCAGAGCTGCTGCCAGCACGGGGAGGATGCGGGGCTCCTCGGGCAGGGCTGCGCAGTCGCTGCTGCCCAAGCGGCTCCGTGCCACAGACAACAGCAGCAGGCTGCACACAGGAGCAGCAGCACCCACAACGCCTGGGCCTCCTCAGCGAGGCTCCCACACCACCCAGGATGCTAAAAGCAGGAATGCTGTGGGCACAATTGCACGTGCTTTGGCCAAAGGCTTCAGGAAAAATGGCCACAGGGGCTTTCTATTGACTGCCCAGCCTCACAGCAACACTGGGCAGCTCCAGGGGCAGCCTCTCATCCTGACTGACTTCCACAGCCGTGCCTGAGGGTAGACTCACCTTCCGCACTCAGGCATCCCAAGGCACTGGCACTGGGGCCATCCTTAGAGACTGCGATGGGACATGAGCCTTGGGCTGCAGCTGCTGAACCTCTCCTCCAGGCAGGCACCTTAAAAACACAGGCCTGGGCTTCTAAGCTCAAAATCCAGGCCTTCCTGGAAGGGAAGGAAGAAGCACCTGAAGCTGAAGCAGGGCCTCATCCCATGAGGTTCAGGCATGGAGGCAAGTCAGCACTGTGGGGTCTGCTGCAAAAATGGCTCAGTTCACAAGCTCAGCTTTTGCTGCTAGGGGATCTTATTTTGGCCTTGCTGGAGCCCATTCCCTACCAATGCACGGCCCCTCACTGCTCTTGGATCAAGTGTCCTGGACCCGTGGCAACACGTGTGCCCTGTGTCCACGCGAGAGCAGCAACTGGCAGAACACGTCCGCTTCCAGCATTTGTCTTGGCTGCTCCTTCAGCGGGCTGGCACCTTAATCAGAGATGCGCAACAGCTTTGCATCCCAGAGTTCTCCCTGTCCCCTTCGCTTCTCCCCAATGCTCTGGATATCAGCTGGGAGTCGCAATCGGACCCACAGGACCTGGAACTTTGAACATCAGACCGGGCAGATTTATTTTGCAGAATGCAAGAAGAAAAGTCCAAATAATACAAGGAAACTGGACAGGATCTCTGAGCAATCCGATCTTCCCGCGAAACTCAGCAACTGAGGGTGGTTTTGCGCTGCAGGTCATCACTTCCGTGCAAAAATCATTCCCGCAAGGAGAAACTGCTTCTGCCTTCTGACAGATGCTGAGCACTGCCACCAATTGCTCCGGCTACCACTCCCAACGGCCCCCCTGCAAGAGCGCAGACATCAGTACCCGTTGGCTTTGGCCGCCCTCTGGCAGAGAAGTCCTCCGGGGCCACAGCTCTTTGGGGCAGGAGGCGGGCACCACCCCTGCCAGGACTCGGGGTGGTGGCAGGTCTCCTTGGGCGAGGACTTGCCAGAGCTGCTGATTTTTGTGCAGCCCCGGCCAAGGGGGTCGGAGCGGCATTGATGCCCTTGCCCCCACATTCCTTCGGTGTGTCACAGCCCCGTGTTTGGGAGGGCCAGCAGCCGGGACTTCTCCCAAAGAGCCCGGACCAGCTTCTGTGGAGGCCCCGTGCCCTTCCCGCTGCAGCTGCGTCGGCAGCCGAGGGCTCCTTCTGCTGCTGTGGGCAGGCACAGCAGGGCAGGGTTTGCTCAGTTTTTGAGCTGGGCCTAAAGTTCATGTCCAGCTGTCTTAGATACTTTGGACAACGGACTCCTTTCGACCTGGGGCAGGTTGGGCAGGCGGGGAGAGGCCCCAGGGCAGGTGGCGGTGTGTCACAGGGCCCTTTGTGACACGGTGGGCATCGTCGATGGTGTGCAACGGGGCAGGGTGTCACAGGGCCCTTTGTGACACGTCCTGACATAGTACCGGTGGTGACGTGGCCACGCCTCAGTGCTCCTCGGAGCGTGCGACGGGACGGACGGAACAGAGCGGTGCTGTGCGGAGCCCCCGTGCAGCCAACTCCTTCCTTGCTGACCCGGAGCGTTTTGGAGGCTTTTCTGTGGTGCAAGCGCCCTCGAGGCCAGATCGCGGGACTTGGTGACGCGGAGCTTTGGCGAGGTGTCTCCAAGCCCTGTGGCGAGTGCCCTTGAGGCCACACCGCAGGACTTGAGAACCCCTACCCTTTCCTAGGTTTTTCTCCAGTTCAGTTGCCCTTGAGGCCAGATCGCAGGATTGGTGACCCGGAAATTTTCCGAGGAGTCTCCAATCCCTGTGGCAGGTGGCCTAGAGGGCAGCCTGCAAGACTTGAGGACACGGAGATCTTCCGAGGCGTCTCTCTCTTGCAGGTGCCCTCAAGGCCAGACTGCAGGATGGCGGAAAGACGCCGGAGCCTGCTCAGGCCCTTTCGGACGAAGAAGGCAGGCCCTGGGACTGACCCAACAGAGCAGCCTGAAGAGGTGGAGCAGTCCCAGCCCCTGCAGGAGGGTGAGTGGCAGGGCTGGGCCACAGGGCTGGTGGCTGCAGCCAGGTGGGCCTCTTCCCATCCCATCCCCTGTGGACATGGCCAGGGAAAGCGAGGGGGGAAGAGGGGCCAGGGTTGATCCCCCAGCAGCTCCTTGTACTGGGCAGCCCGGGGCTGGCCCTGCCTGTGGAGCGCAGGGCTGGGCTGTGTTCTGCGGCCTGTCCCGCAGCCCCTCAGCTCTGACCACACTCGCTCTTTGCCAGATGCAGGCCTGCAACGGACACCAGAGCAGGACCGTGCCCGGGGCCGCTTCCGCGGGGCAGCACAGGTACCTGCAGCCATCGCCACCTGGGCTGGGCCTGCTGTCACTGCTCAGCCTGGCACCGCTGGCGGAGCTCTCCATGCCACATTCCCCTCTTCACTGCCCTTCGTTCTCCTGCAGGCCTTTCTGAAATTCTTGAGCGTTCGGCGTAGAAAGTACAGGATCACGCCAATTGAGGTCGTGGCGCAGCCTGACCCTACGCCGACCGAGCTCAACGCTGACCCCGATGTCGGCACCGCGTCGACGGACGGCACGGCAAACCGTGACACCGCGGTGACCGATGGCATGACAACCTCCAACACCGCGCTGCCTGAGCCCACCCCGCAGGCTGACGGTGCAAAGACTGAGGGCATCGCGGACGCTGACAGCACACCCGTTCAGCACCTGCCCGATGATCTCAGTCTGGAGGTTCTTGAAGAGGAAGTTATCTCTGTGGAAGTAAGCAGCCTGTGGGCAGGGACTGTCTGGCCCCTCAAGCCGGGTCTGCTGGGCCCCCTAAGCCTTTGAGGTCCGCACAGTGTGGTGGAAAGGGAGGCACTTCTGGAGGGACAGTGGGCAACTTGCTCCCTCTGGCAGCTCTCCAACTGCCCCATGTCCCCTCCTGGCTGTGGGACTGTGGGACTTGATGACCTGCAGCGTTCCGAGCACTCCTCTACTGCAAATGCCTTCAAGGCACTTTGGCAGGACTTGGTGACCCAGAGTATTTCTGTGGCATCTCTCCTGTAGGAAGCCATGAAACCAGACAGGGGCATGGAGCGGAGACCTCCCAGGGTGCCCGAGCGGGCGCGGGTGAAGAAGGAGCAGGAGGAAAACCCTGGGCCCGCCCCAGCACAGCAGCCTGAGGAGGCAGAGCACTTCCAGCCCCTGCAGAAGGGTGAGTGGCAGGGCTGGGCCACAGGGTTGAATGACTGCAGCCAGATGGGCCTCATTCCATCCCATCCCATCCCCTGTGGACATG